GCACTGGCACAGCATCATCCCTGCCATCAAGAGGTAAGGACAGCTCCACGGGCTTCCCACAGTGCTCACCTGCAGCGAGACCACTGCTCAGCTGGCCAGATCAGCTGTGCCTCGTGCTCTCACTCCGCTGCGGCACCTTGCAGACTGGATGCTGAAATTCTGGTGACATCTCAGATTACAGCAGTTTAGAGCTGTACTGAGTCACAGTCCTTCTGCAGCAAGGTAGCTTCAGCAGCAGGGGGTGAACTCTTTATCAACTGATCACAAATCCTCCTTGGAGCCATGAAGTGTTTCTGAGATAACTTCGCACACACACACACGCGCACACACACTCCTGCTCTATGTACACTATTAGCAATAAACTAAAACTTGCTGTCTAGGGAGTGTATAACCACTGCACAATTATTAAATGTCTGTGAAACAGAAAAACGAAAGTTAAAAAACAGTATCCTACACTGCAGAAAAGTGGTTAGGCTAACACTTCTGTTGCTGTTCTCTTTAAAACTGTTTAAGCTGCTTGATCTAAAAGAGAAACTTATTTCACTATAATAACCTCCTTTCACATATTCCACCAAACCATTTATTCATGATTAACCACTCATCCAAACCATTTATTTATAAAAACATTTAGTAAATTGCTATTGTTGATCTGTTATATCAGTTAATTAGTGCTATAATTTTGAGGTTACATGATTTGTTTTCCCTGTGAGAAAGTTTTCATGAGAAAAATATTGTCCAGACAAATGTCTCTATCATACTTTATTTTCTTATGAAATACTGTAAACATCCCATATCACTTTATCACAATAGACTCTAATAAATAAAGTGAATTATGATATAGTGAGGGTAACCAAGACAGTTATTAATTGCTGAATATATTTAAATACCAGCATCTTTTTACCCTTCTTTGGGTATCTGAATGACAGTGGGTTGACAATTTGATTTTTTACTCACAAATGGGCTTCTGTTTGTAAACGAACTTCCTTTAAACAGTGTGCAAGTACTCAGCGGAAATAAATAAATCTACATGAGTAAGAGCTACAGTAACAATATTTTTAGTCATTAATTTAGCAGTCATTCTCCAACTGGATAAAAAACTTTTCTATTACATATTGATCTGAATTCCATGAAATAGTTACACACTGCATCTCATTTAATAGGTTATTCCTAATTATTTATTATTAAGGATGAAAAATCAGCTGTACTATAGATGCATCATTTATTTCAAATAAATGAGATTACCATGTTCCTTTGCAAGAGCATTTATAGCTATAAAAATCTAATTATTAAAACATCAATTTTTCATATGTTAAGACAGAGAAAACTTTTATCCATCTGGCCTGTATTTACAGTCACCCATTTTTAAAAGCATTGCTAATTTCAGCATGCTTCATTTTAAATGTCTAATAAGAAATGTATATTCCTCCTCTTAAACTTCTGCTTCTACACATTTAACTGTAGCTTCCAGCTTGGTTTTAGATTCTTCTACCTTTTTCCCGTTATTCTTTGTTTCCTTCTCAAGTGTTTTGTCATTTGTCTTAGCCTCTTTGAGAGCAGTAGTTTCAACCATTTCTTTTTGCTGATTCTTGTTTGAAAATGGAAAGGTTTTCTTATACCTTTAAATAAGAAAAAAAAGATAATATAGCAGAAGGACTGATATTGTTTGGTTTAACTGCTGAACAAAAAACACAAAATAAGTAAAATAAGTTTACTCTGTCATGTGCAAACACATTTCTTTAGCTACATGTGTAAATATTCACTAGTTGTAGTCTGCTAGTTAATTCGGTCCAAGAGAAAAAAAGAAAATCTTACTTTTTGATATAGCAGACAGCTAGAACAACTGAAGTAATGAAGAAGATCACTGCCAGTACAAGGAGTGCCGTGGGGATACCTAAAGGCAAAAATAAATGAGGTAAGTATAAAGATTTTATACAGACTTAATTCTACCTTTCTGAAGGCTCATGAAAATACATCAAGACTGCTAATAGCAGCCCAGTACAGGAGTTACATGTACATGAACTCACAGAAGAACACAGGTATGACTAATTACAAGAACACAGATGGCTTTTCCTTATAATCAGTACACTTTTCAGTTTACTTGCTCACACCTCACATTCGGAGAACAACAAATCACTTTTCTCCTTAAAACTTTCTTGGCTGCTTTTTTATTTTTTTAGAGGTACCAGAGCTTTCCATTACTCTGAGAACATGCTGCTTGTTACCTTTCTCAGAAGTACACCTCCTGCAATTCATGTTAACCATTATGAACTATTAAAATATGAACAGAAAGTATAAAATCATATTTAGACCTTACTTACACTTTACAATTATTTTAAAAGTTATTTAAGTAATGTATATGGCCTTTACCTCCAAAGACAACACCATCATTCTTAAAGGCAGCATGTGAAGTGTAGTTAGGAAATTGAAGCTGGGAGTATTCCTCTGGAATTTTTGCAGTAGTTCCCTCTGTTGTCAGTATAGTTTCAGTTATACATATTACACGAAATTTCACATTTTTCAGTGGTTGTTCTGACACAGTTGCATTAGGCACTGCTGTGATGTTCTCATTCACGTCTGAGCTAGAATATGTAGGTAAGTCCGTTGATTCACTTGAAGAAAATGGTATGGATGTAGTTGGATTTGGTTTACATGAATTAATATGAACATCTGGAGAAGGGAAAGGAAATACATAGGAATTGGGCTGGATGTTAATTTTGCACTTACCTAAGGTAGAGCACACCTGTTTATAGATTTTTTTTTTCCTTTGAAAATTATTCTTTGATTAGTCATGATGCAGTCAGGCTTATGCAGATTAGGGCATGCTTCTTTTAAATATGTGGCTAAGAGCATGACTATGCACATTTTTAATGTTATTCACATAGCTCAAGACCTTTCTGGGTAACTGAGACCCTTATTTTACAATTGCATACCAAACAAGATCCCTTCTAAAAAAATATAAACAAAACATGACCCCTGCAGAGCAGGAGGCTTACCTGCAGATAGAAGTTTAAAAAATATTTCAGTTATATAACATACTCTAATTAATATGATTGCTTATATGTTCAAAACATATGCATACACTGCTGACACTTGGAACACTACATTGACTTCCTGGAAAGAAAAGTAGCCATAAAACTTCCAATAAATCAGATACCAAAGAGATACAAACAAGTGACACAATTCTAATAGGTGCTAAAAGAAACTAACTTCAGGCATTTTCTGGAATGCAGTTATTTAAATGATATGACCATCATGGCCGGACTCAAAGATCTTAAAGGTCTTTTCCAACCATAATGATCCTATGTTTCTATGATTGTTTCTATAAAAATGAAGTTGTAAGTGAAGCTTTATATGCAAATGGCAAATATGAGCTCTGAACCAGGCTCCCGTGAAAATTCATGTTTTCTAATGAAGTTCTATATTCTGAAAAAGCTATAAATGTTTCACTAAAGTATCAAGCATATTACAACATAAGTAACAGGGGAAACTACGTATGTACTGTTCTTCAGATGAATCCCTGTGGAGAGTCTGATGACGCAGTTTCATTCACAGAATAAAAAGATAAGTGACAGAGGCTTTTTACTTTTTCCACTATGGTTTTCGATTTTTTTTTTTTTTTGCATTATAACCACAAATAAAACTGACAGGAGAAGGAGCTTCTGCCAACAACTTTGAGTAGGAAATACCTACTTCTTACCCTAAGGCAACAGTTTGGCTATTAAGAGAAAGAAATAGAGAATCATCACAATGTAACATATACATTACCTACCCTAGAGTTTTTTTTTTTAAACTATGCAGCAAACTTAGTTTTCTCCATATATGGAAAGAGCTTTTTTTTTTTTCAACTACAGCAAAACAAGTAATTTATCAACTTTCCCAACATTTCTGATATAGAATGATGCATAATATATTTCATGCCTTGAAAAACTATGTTGTAAACAAGCAGAGGTAATAACAATACGAACAGAAATGGCTCATTTTAAGGTCTGCCAACCAGGGACTAATTCATCTATAGGTTTATTAAAAAAAAACCCACAAAACCAAAAAAAATTAACTGTAGAGAAAAAAATAAGCTAGCCCAATCATGTCTTTTTAACTTGACAGATTAAATGGTAGTTCATTTCTAATGATGCCTTTTCCCTCCCAGTGCTTCAGTGCTCTCTTATTAGCGATCAGATACTATGTAATCTCGCAACTACTTATATTACCTACCCTGCTTCATCAAAAAGATTCAGCAACATCAACAAAGTCTCTCTGGCTAAGTGGCCTAAACAACTTTACCCTTAAGTTTTTAATCAGCTCTGAGGTACATGGTCACCATAGGTGAGATGACAGGGCTATAGGCTGCTAGAGGGAACACAATAGCTCTGGTAAGTACTTCAGCTAATAATAAAAAAGTCATTAAAGACAATACTGGTCTCTTCAGCTGAGAAGATGTAATTTCAATCAAGCCCCAGGTTTCTCCGCTGTATCTTCCAATGCCAGAGATACATGGAGAGTCAAGAACTAAGATGGGAAGGGTAGTTCTTTTCAAAAATTGGGTGATGCAAATTAAAGTCTTGCAGAGGAAGCCATTTGATTTTATTAATAATAGATTGGGAATCTATCTGATTTTATGGATGTTCACTTACGCTAGCTTATATTTTAATTATTTATTTTGATTTTTCAAAAAAAGATTCACCTTCAAGAACCCCATTCTTGGTCTTTTTACGAAATACATGCACACAGGCACAAACTACTTATGACTTTGAGAGCTCATCTGTTTTTTAAAACAACATGCCTAGATAATCAAAACATATTAAAAGTATTGAACTGACGTGAAAGAATGGCAGAAGCATCTATTTTTCCAAGAACTGTAATGGCAGCAAAAAGTTATTATTGACCATTAACCAAATAGACCTACAGACCTTTTCTATTTGTATTTCCTGAAAATTGTTTTCCTCAATGAGACATCTCAGATCAAGAAGGAAAGAGGCAATAAATAAGAACTTAATCATCATTTTTTATGCAAATTTGAAAAAAAATAAAGCTAAATATTAAATATTAAAAATGTAGTTGTCATGCTTGCATACCTGAGGAATTGAAGCAGTAAACCTTGAATGTTTTGAAGTGTTCAGCATTCCATGGTACTAGTCCAACATTGCCCTTACCACATTTCTTGTTGGATGTTATTCGAGGAATGACAACAAAACCATCTTTCACCCATCCATAGCTACAATAAAAAGCATCAATCCTTTTCATATTGTATTTGTTCACAACTTCACATTGTGTGAAGGAATACATTAATTGATACTAACTGATTTCTCATACCTGCATGTTTCAAAGCCGTATTTCAAAGCCTTTTCAACCTGGTCTTTACTTGCCAATTGTAGATTCAGTTGACCACATGCATTAATTGCATCAGAGAAATTCACTTTATCCTCAAGATAAATTCCTATGCCTGCAATCCTGCAAGGTGAAAGCATGGAACCTGTAAATTTAGACATAAATATTCATGGTTAGTACTACTTCAATATTAACATTTATTTCTTATGCAGGATTGCAGATAGTGTTTAACCTAAGGGCACATAATTTAAATTTTTTGGCTTAATGACAGTAGAAAAGTAACCTTTTCTTTCTTTTCTTTTTCTTCTTCTTTTTTTTTTTTAAAGAAAATACTTTTTCCTCAACACAGTAGTCCAGATTTTCAAAGAGTTTGACTGTTATTAAATTAAGGAAATTTATATACAATTGGCATTTCAGTCAATATCTGCAGCCAACTTATTACTAAAGATGTTGTTATACTCATTTATGCAAAATGGGAAAAGTAATTAGGCAGTCCTCTCCCCAATAAATATAAGAGTTGCACTGAAACACTCATTCATTCAGAATACCAATCTCTCCAATATAAGTTCTACCAAAGGTGTTATACATAATTTTTCAAAGAATGAATAAAACCACAAGAAAATATGCCCAAAAGTTTGGTCCTTATTCCTTCTAAATTTATCTTTTTATCTTTTTTTTTTTCTAGTTTGGCATCATATTATTTTTATTTTTTCTCTCTCTTTTTTTTTCCCCCATCCATCCAGGTTCTTCAGAGAGCTCTGCATTCATTAGCACTTTCTGGCACAGAATAGAGCCAGTGAACACCTGAGCAGTCCCCCACAGCCAAATCACAACTGCATGAACCTGACTAGGATATAAAACCAGCTGGCCATACCGCATGATGAACCAGAGAACTACATTGCTCAGTGAAGATGTTCATGTAGTTATCAAAGACCTCAAATCTGTCCAAGCAATCCTAGTAGGAAAATGACTTTTACTGTCAAATGTCTTCCAGCCAACCAGCCTCCATGAACATCCTCTTATACGGATTTATTTTAGCCAAGGTACTTTTGCATCAGAGAGATGCTCCAGCATTTACCTTTCTGGATTCCCTTTTGCTCCTTGCTTTCTTCAGAATTGTTTTTGGTTTCCCAAATAACTTTCTCAGCTCTTAAGGCAGATTCCACTATTCCTCTTTTTTGTTTACAACACATTCCTTCTGTAGAATTTGTGCCAATTCCTTTTTGCCTTCCTCCTTTTCATGTATTTTTCCTACTATTTATCTATCTATTCAAATCTAATGTTGAAGATGAAAGTTCGTTAGTGACCAACCTGTTTTATTGAGTAATCTGGAAAAACTTAAGAGCCTTACAACAAGACTCAAAACTGCCACAAGACAGAAATAAAATTGTTCAATATTTATAAGGTGTGGATATAAGCCTTGCTTACCTCCTTGCCTTGCCACAAGTTCTCACTCAGATTTGCTAGAGATATTTTCCCTTGGCCTGCGATGCCAGGAAGCAAGCCAGCCAGCATGGAACTGTGCCACAAAGACAAACTAGGAGCCAAGGGTGGCCACAGGGCAGGCAGAACAATGTCCTCACTGACCAAGGTGCAGCCTCCCACCATCTCAGTAGGTCCAGTTTGGTGACAGTGACAGGTTTCACCAGCAAAGCACAGTAGTGAGTCAAGTCCAGGACTCATTCAGAAACTCCATTTGGGAGCAGCGGGAGACAGCACTACCTACAACACATGCTGAAGGTGCATCCTGGAGGCTACCTTATAGCATAAGTCCATGCAGGAAGTCCAGTCACTAAGCCAGGACAGTGGTAGCCTGGGCTGGGCGCAGGTACAGCACAGCTCAGGCTGGTATTGCTATCAGGCCTGAGCTTAAGTGGAGCTCCTGGACCACTGAGCAGGGGTGCACAGGTGAGTACCCAGCTGAGGCAGGTAACCACTTAAAGAGGGTCCTAACACCTGATAGCTAAAAAGGGTAATCTAAGAGTCAAACTTTCCATTTTCTCAATAAGAATTATTCAGTGGCTGGGAATTCAAATGAGACCAACTGTGGTTAGGTAATCCAGTCCTGTGGAGTTTTAGTAGGACCCTAGTTAAGCATCTAATTGCATTAGTCTGAATGTCTGGATTTCCTTCAGAAGCCTCTCAACAGATAAGAAAATCAGAATCTCTTCATTTTCATATTTTTTTTAAACATCAATAGAAAAAGCAATCTCTCCTTGAAAATTACAGCAAAATAGCCAAAACCAATTCAATTATCCTAGATGTGTATTAGGTATCTCCAGATATCCTAGTAGCTACTGGGAGTGTACGCTACTTGATCATTTAAAGTTATAGTATCGAAGCTGAATGAGAAGACATCCAAGTTTCATTAAACACATCGAAGAAGAGTTCAAGACTATCTTCAGAGCCTAGACATCACAAAAAATATGGGCACATAATAATGCCTGGCCGGGGGGAGGTTTATCTAGAACAGTATGATGAAATTGATACTGACAGTTGCCTGTGTTAATTTTTCAGACAGTTTAAGTAAAATAGGAACTTTTGCACTGTATTAACCAGAGATAGGCACACTTGTCCTGAAAATGAACTGAAAATTTCTTGCCCTAAATTTCCTTCAGTGCTGCAAATCAGGACAGTGTCATGATATTGCCAAATCAGAGCAGAACAGTTTGCACTAAAGACAGCATTTTACCTCAGAAACATGTAACTGATTTCACGCATGTCTCGCTACCTGAAATCTGTACAGAAGCATTGTGGTATATTCATGTAATAAAATCACATTCCAGCAGATCTGAACTTAATCCTAAAAGCACTACCAAAAATTAAAAAAAAGCAGTTCTGTAGCATTTGGGAAGCATTCAAAATTATCAAGTGATTAAACTGCACAAACAGTGAAAGATTTTCCCTATTTAGTACTTTTCATTGACTTCTGAAAATCTTCTTGTTACAAATGCCATCAAACACATTAACACACCCTCCTCAACTCTCCCTCGTTATTTGCAAATATAGATGGTTTCTAAAGTACTTTGCTTTTAAGCTAGATTAAAAAAAATGAAATTTTACATACCTGTTATGAAGTTATTTTGAACCATGAATATTATAACGCACACTGAAAACACTGCTGAGGTATCTCCAAAATTGGTTGCCATTTTCACCAAGTTGGCTACTTGAGAAATCCAAGGTCTCCTGTACTAAAAGAGAATTAAAAAATACGATACTGTTACACCACCTTGAGACTGCCTTTGCAATGACTTCTTGAAAGCAACTTCAGCTGTTACCGTGCTACTTCATAGAAAGAAGGTCAGAGCAAGTGTGTTGACTGTCCCATTCAAAAGTGAGGTCACTAACTGGAAATCCCTCAACTCCCTCTACATTTTCTTTCATGTAGGGCACTCTGGAAAATTTAACTGCTGACTCAGAAAACACAGCTGAGGAAGGGAGATAAGACTGTTAGACTGCTAATTCAGTAAACACTTTGAAAAAAAAGGTTTTCTTTTGCTATTTTTTCCTGTTTTACTGATTAACAGCTCATTACTCATGTTGTCTATTCAACTGGTAAATAGAAAGGATTCTCTATCATGTCAGAGCATGCCAGGCAGTTACACAGAGACCCAAAATCAGATTTTTTCTTCTGGTGTGAAGTGTACTTTTACCTTCCTTTGCCATAAAGTTCCAATGCAAAAATTTGCACCATAATGCAGAGGTTGTTCGATTCCCTGCATTATTGTAGGGACAGTGCTGGTAGCCAGTGATTTCACTGTTCCCTTTTGTGAAGTTCCAATAAAGAATGATTCCAATACACTGATTCAAATCACAAATTACCTTGGCAGCTATAACTTAGAAACTTTCAGGAATTCTTAGCAGAGTTGTTTTGCAGGGATTTCAACAGAGCAGGAATAGACTTCAAAAGATCAACTATATTTATGTTATTCCTGCCAGATGTTTGCCCAACCTCTTCTTAAAGACTTGCACTGACAAATTCTTAACATCTCATTACATGCTCTATTCCAGCATTTCACTATTATTGACCATTAAAAAGTTTGGCCTAGTCTAAACAGAATTACCCTTACTACACTGTAAACCTATAATGTCCTTTCCTACTGGAAATGGATATGGCAAACAGGTTGTTATTCTTTGCAACAGACTTACGTAATTGAAAACTTTTGCTCTGCTCTCACTTCTATTTTAGCAAGAAATCTCAACTTGTTCACTCTTTTCCTTGAGCCAAGCTGAGTATTAATTAATGGATTCCTTCATCTGCTTATACAGTTTTTTCAACAGCATAATATCATTCACTTGCGTAGAGGTTGTGATTCAGTGAACATTTAGACATCCTAGATCCCAATGATGCTTGAAGGTTCCGTAAGCAGTATAATAGTATAAAAGCTTAGCAGTAGCTGCCATTTCAAGGTGCATCTTACACTGTGGAATGTTCACACTTGGAACAGTTATCTACTATTTTAATACTGTCTTAAGTATTAAAACGATATGGAATATCACACTTGAACTTACAACATTACAAAAGTCTTTAACGTGGTTGTGAATCTTCATCTTATTTGGTACAAATATCATATTGATTATGTGTATAATTAGCATTTGATTCAACTATTTACTGTAACATATAAAGGGAAATTCCCTGCATTTCAGTTTAGAAAGGCCCATGTTTTAAGCTACTGTTGAGGACTGCTAAGAAAGATTTTAAACAGGAGAGAAATAGACTTAACCACTGTCTACAACCATTAGTCTGAACAACAAATTGTCTTTTTCCCTAGTAACAGTCATTTCTTCCAAGGTTGTTGTTGCTCCAAAGTCTTTTTCTGTGTCAGAGACAGCAACAACAGCTTGGTTCTTTGTGGAAATAGTGTTTTTCACTACCTGCTGATGGCAGCAGTTCCGCTCTGCACATAGGCCAGGCTTCCAGGACCTCCCAAGCCAACAAGAACAGCAAGCAAATAAAGAATTCAAACCTTACACTTGGCCTCCATTGGTTAGAAATCTCCTTTGTGGCTTTCAGTCCTCAGCCTTTTCTGTGACAGGAAGCCTCTTCTCCAGGATATGCCAGTTTCCTCTCTCATCTTTTCCAGGGATGACCCTGCTGACAAATGCTTTCCCCATTGCAACAGCAGCTTGCTAGCTTCTTCAACAGCAATTTTCTGAATAACTGAAAGACTAAGAACAAGATCCTTGGTAGGTGCAACATGACGCTACGTTATGCGGTGTAGATGAGACAATAGGCATTTTAAAATAACACAACATGCAGAGAGAGCACATCTGAAAAACAAGACTTTGAGATGGCAACAGAGGACTTTGAAATCATACTTTTATTTTAAAACTCAAGTATGTGATACTATACAGTACAATACCAGCACACTTGTGCAAAATCTTACAACGTTACAAATTTAAATATGATACACAAAAATAGTGCCCTTTTAAAATTCCTTTTACTAAAAACATCCGTGCTGTGCAAGGAGAAACCATAAACGTGTCATGTTAAAGCAGGAAAATAAATATTGCACCTCAAGAAAACTATTTCAGTGTTAATAGCATAAATAATAAACCTATTTCTTATCCGATGTGAACTTCGAACACAGATGAATATTTTTTTTCCCCGCAGAATGAGAAAACTAGTATCTAACAGATAAAATTAGATTTAGAATAATTTTTGAGCTCAACTTATTATTATTATTTTTTTAATCAGGAAAAAACAGCATGTGTTTCCATTAATGGAAAAATGTAAGCAAAACTAATGTGTTTAGTCACTGTGGTCTATTATTTTTAGTGGACATTTTGCTCAAAATAGGTATAAAAAGAATATATACAGTTTTATAAACTGGTTTATTTTCAGCTTTAATCCCCATTAAAATCCTTTGCCTTTCAGTCTATTACCTATACCAGTTAATAAATTCATGGGTAAATTACGCTCTCTTTAGCTATATAAGTAGTTCCGTTCAAACTGGTACAACTACTTAAATTCTCCTTTCTTCACTAAGTCTTCAAAAAGCCAGTGTGCTGAATTACAAAAAAGAGGATGGAGAACCTGTCCAAATACTGACCCCATTATAAAACTTAGAGCATGCCTAAATTCAAGGAGCTGAAGATTCCCATTGATAACAGTAAGATTCTTCATGTGCTTAAAATAAGGTGTTGGACCCAGATCAGTGTAGATGTGATAAGAACAAATTAACTTGAATACAGGCATTTTTAAATCTATTTTTGTCAGTGTAACATTTTCCACATGCCATGATTTTTGGTACTGAGGAATCTGAATCTTCAGGACTACTCATCTTTAATTTTTACTGTCTTACCAGGTTATCAACAATATGCCTAAGGATTTGCTTGTCAAAGAAGCCAGTTAAAGAAAAACAGATGTTCAAAGAGCCACTGAGAATTTGTTTTTTAATAGTTATGTATGCTACACGTAGTTCTAGTAGCAGTTCCTGGTAGTTCTTCATTCTAACTGAACCAGATACGAGGTAATCGGCAATAAGCTTGTTCTGTCTTATTCTTTACCGATTTACAATTGTAGACCAAATGACACTTTCTCATGATCCTTTTTGAACTTCCTCAAACACTTCTATTCCTCAAAAATATTTTTAGTAAAAAATGAAACCCCCAAATACTTACAGAATTTTCCTTTTTTCTTTCCCTCCTCTTTTTTTTTCTTCTTCAACAGGGGCAATGGACTCCTATTTTTCTTTTCTCCATATAATATCCAAATATCTTAAGAAACACGTGACTAAGGATGCAACAAACAAACCTCACCAGCAGGGTATTTGTTATGAGCGACAGATAAGTGACTTAAATTTCTGACTTAGAAAACTGTTTTCTTTGCTAGTTAGCTTGAAGCTCAATGTTTACATCGAAAGAAAACAAGTGAATATTAACTGTACCTGAATATTCATTACAGTACTTCATAACATCCTTATCCTTCAATTGATAAATGCCAAAAGAATGCAATACCCAAGAGTACAAACAAGCGTCAAACTGATTTTCATATTGTGGCTAGATTCAAACATATAGCAAAAGAAACACAAATAGAATTTATCTTCAGTCAGAAATGAGATTCTTCAGGTACATATGATAGACCTTAAGTGATGTCCATTTTGGTCTCAGCTCTAGACATGGATTTTTTAGATAATGGCTTTATGTTTCGCAAATGGCTTACTGTTTTGCAATTACTTACGTATAAAGATTTCAAGTTTTCACATTCTTTCTCAATTCCTTCAAAACTTTCAATTCCCAAACAGGTAGAACAATCAAGAAATCTGGCCAGGAGATTAATCTAGAATGACCTGCTAGTTTAATTTTGAAGGCATATCCCAATACTAACAAATTCTGCACCAGACTCTGAAAATGAACACTAAGAACAAGCAGTGACCTAATTAAAGTCCTCACTGATTTCCTGTTCTCATTCAGGGAGGAACCTGCAAGTTTTTCCTGTACACAGTACTGTGGCCTGCAGCAGATCTCAAAGTAACCCTACATGCAGTATTAGCACAGGACAGATTCTGTTCAGTGGTCACCTGTCAACCTTCCACATTCAAGAATGCACATCTAATCTTCCAAACAGTAATTACCTTTTGTTGCAATCACTAGTGACTCTGAACTTCATGCACTGTGCTTCATGCACGTATTCAAAGAAGTGGTAAAATTACAAAGCATATATAGCTTTGATATATCAGAAATTTCCAGATGAACTGGACAATATCATTTGTGCCACCTAGGCTTCATTTTAGATTTTGCTGAGTATCCCACTCAAAGAAGTGGTCCTATTCTTAAAGTATATCATAAAATGTATATGTGTTTGTACTAGCACTTCATTTAAATTATAGAGACAATTTCTCTTATGAAATTATATCAGCAATGCATTCGGTCTGATAATATAATTTTACCTTCCATGAAAGGCCTTCTATTTCTACCCAATAATTGTGAATAAAAAAACCAGACTATTAAAAACCAAATGACTTAAATGTCAGTAATACTTCACCAATAATCAATAAATTCTGGAAATACTAAGGTAAAGTAAGCAACTCTGCAAATGTAGTTTTTGATTTTCTTCAAAATCATAAGACAGACATCAATGTCTTGTGCAAATAGTCCTTTTAAATATCTTGGTAGTTGCTGATTACTGACACAACCTTATCATGACTGAATACTACTTTATTCCAATTATTCATTTACAATTAGCAGGATGGACAGACAGAAGTATTTATCAGATAGTCTTTTGGCAAGCTGTGTTCACAATGCATCTCCAAACCTGATTGTGCTGAGTAACTCATGTGTCTTAACAGATCACATTTAAGAGCCAGAAAGATGACTAAGTGCTACCTTTAACTGTGTTCTAACATGTGTACTTGCTCGGGTACCATAAATGTGTTTGTTCCTTTATTATTCAGTGCGTTGTTCGTGCCGAAATCCTGAGTTCCACCAGGAATATTGATGGGCAGCAGAACAGCTGGCCTTTCCTTCAGGTCCCTCTGATTTTTCATCACAGGAGTTGTATGAATGGTAGATCCATAACACCACAGCAAAAATGATTAACGCAGGCACTACAAGCCATATCACATTCCAGTTTTTACACAGTTTGGGATACAGTATATGTAAATAATTAATGATGACTTCAAGTCTGCTGTAAAATGAAAAAAGCACAAATTGATTTTATTAAGCTTTTAAATTTGAGGAATTTCATAATTGTACGTTGCACTATCTTTCTTTCAAAAAGAAACACCTTATTAGAGAACAACCACATTGCTAAGTTATTTCACAAAGAGCTGCAGACTCAAATACTGGTGGTATTTGCAAGATATGTAAGGGCAAAGGACAAATATCAAGCCATAAACTTGACTTCTATTTCTCCTGTCTGACAACAGGATAACCTCAGAACTTGATAAGCTTTCAAATTCTGTTTCATTCACAGCTTGCTCAGTTAAACTATTAGAAAGAAAACATTTCATAGTATGGAGTTTCATGACTGGCAGTGGGGTGGCCATCTTTCTGAACACGATTTGAATATCAAATTAGCAGATATTTAAAATCGCAATAAACCTGGAATTAGTCCTTTAGGATCAGATAGGGATCCCTACCTTAGCTTATGATTGGACACATTATTTTCTTCAGCCAGCCTTCAATTTCCCTGCAATCTAGAAGTCTCTGCTTTTAACATGCAGGAAATTCAGGATATATTGAGAATAGAGTTGGTAGAGCCACCGAACAAACTCAAATAACCTCAAGAACAATCGAACATTTCAGAACATATTTTCAGTTGGAATGATGATAAGCCAAGGATTCAAGAACCCCCACAGTGGAGGAACATCACTGGATACTGATGAAGGTAATAAATACATTCTTCCACTGAAAAGCAGGGTATTTTAACTGCAGCACAGTGCTCTTCTACAGCATCTATACAGGTTCTAAAGGACCAGGTAGCTGCCTGTCCAAGTCAGAGCGCATGATGAAAAATTTCTGTTAATCTGCATTCACCTTATACATATATTGAAAGACTCATCTCTGAATAGAATTAAAACTTCCCTAAGACAATGCATGCCCACTGGGAGAGACATTTTAGCATTTAACGACCTTCTGTAGGATATATTTTATCTCAAATCAGAAAAGGAACCCAATTAGGATAAAGCACCTTGATGTACAAACATCAACATACAGTTTCAATTGAAAATGCCAAACTAAAAGGTTTTACATTTGTTACTGTATTTTCTTGAAACATAGCTTTTTATGAAAGTGTGATTATTTCAAATCCTAGATTGGAAGCAAATGTCAATATAATAACATAAAAGTTCAGTACCTCAACCAGGGAAAAGGATCAGCATGTAAACATATTACACCATGGTCTCACCTGCTTTTCAGTTTTTTTATCTCATCTTCATTTTCACTTTCTTCATGCTCATCCTGACTCTCTTTTGGTGTCTCTTCTTCTTCCTTCAATTCCTGAAGTTCTTTGGTTTTCTTCAAGCCTTCCTGATAGCTTTAACAGGCAAAGCATTTTTCTTAGTCTAGAACACTGTTCATGACATGCCATATATCTATTACATGCAGTAAAACACAAGTGTCAGAGATGCTGCAACACTAAGGTGCTGCAACAATCAACATGGGCAAGAGGCCATGAACATGCTCTGCACCATAACCACTCTCCCGTAGCAGATTACATTAGCTCTGTTACAAAAATCTATCTTCCTGTAAAAGAAAGAGAGGCTATAGTTCTCAACAGAACACAATTCCTGAGTATTGTATAGGAGCAATATAATATCTTGCTTATTTGGGTTGATTTTTCTTCTCTGAAGCATAAATGCAAATCAATGCTAAAGATAGACGACTTTTTGGTTTCTGTGGTATGAAATCAAAACTTTTGTCCCATGCCTCACATAATACAAAGTTCTTTGCTTGGCATTTGGAAACGGACAGATCCAGAAACTTAATTATTTCAAACCTTGCTGTGCAAACCACTTTGCCACCTGCAGGCCATGATCTTACTGCAAAAGTTAATATCTACTCTTTATTCATCTCCATATCTATTTTTCAGGAAAAAAATATTTTAAGCAGTTGTTTCAGATTATCTTTCCATGAAGCTGAATATTATTAACATAATAATTACTATATTACTATAGATAAAAATGAATCACTACAAATACAATGAATGATGCTCACTGAAGAAAGATTGCACATTGGTCCAGTGTTGGTCATGTTCTTGGGACTGGTATTGATTATATTACCTATTTTATGTTTAAAAATACCTTGCTAAAACCACAGCTCTTAAAAACACATATTTACAGATTTAGATCATTTAAGATATCCTCACCCTTTGTTATATGCTTCCTCCTCTATCTTGGCTTTAGTTTCAGGACTGATCTCTTCCAATACACTCTGTGTTAACACAGAGGCAGAGTTTTCACAGTCAGCCTCTCCATTAGACTTTCCACTGCAAAGATGAAAGAAACAGAGAAAGTGAAAATAACACCAAGTGTTTCGGAAATTTGTAGATACACATGACTTCCAGCAAAACAATTCTGTGTTGCTTGTTCATATAACTACTATTTTGTTCTAAAAGCAGTACTAAGTAAACGCATGGAATGACTCATGAAATTTCAATGCAAACTGGTTTATGACAGCACACGTAAACGTGAGAGAACATGCACAGTCATGGCACAAAGTAATACAAGATCAAAGGAGCAAAGGTTATGTAGAAAAATAGTTATCAACAAAAGTCAATATTATGTCACTGTCTTCCATACCTTATGCCTTAGTATAATTTCCTCACAGAGTGACATTTTCATCTCATATAAGGATTTAATGTGTATTGAAAAGATTTAGAGAAAACTCACTTCTCTAAAAGTGCTGGCAGAACAGGAGTAGATGTTAGATTGCTTCTTCCATTATTGGGAGATTCTGACTGTAAATTGAAAGATGGCAACAAAAGTTATACTCACAAAATAATTTCAAATGAGTCTTCAGTAAAATGGCATTCAATGTGCTGCCTTTTTTTTTTTCTCTCCTCACACACTCAAATTAACTTGAACATTGCAGCGCCTGTCTACCATAATTATTTTCTTCAAATACCTAGTCTCTTTCTTCTTCATCTATTGATCACTGGACACTTCTCTCCATAGTATCCTAGGAAGATTCATTTGTTAGCTGAGTTTTTAAGGGAATTAAAGAAAAAAAAAAAAGAAAAAAAAAAGGATAAAAAGGATTTAGCTTGTCAGCAAAACCCCATTTAAACAGTCCTAATTTGGAAAACAGAAACTGTTGGATTTTCAGGGTATGTGTCATCTTAGCTCATCCTTGGAAGGCCATAATCCCTGGCATTTTTCCTGAAGAGAATTTGTAGATTTAGGTCCAGATTAGATTCTCAATTAACTTATTCATGTTCTTTAAAACAGAGAGTCAGAGGTTCTAGCACACATTTCTATAGATAATTGCATGTTTATCTACTTGCTGGACTTCGTGACAATGACTAGAAGCTACCACATTACCGAAGTATCTTCTAGGGATTCTAATAAAAAATTTTCTTCTTGTCTAGACAGCCATTTTTACTACTACTTTCCAGCACATTACCATAAATTAAAAGACAAATTGCCTCATCTTGTGTCTAGTGCCTCTGTACAAAAGTAGGCCCTATTACCTCAAGGTGATCATTTTCATAGAATCATAGAATCATAGAATGCTTAGGGTTGAAAGGGACCTCTAGAGATCATCTAGTCCAACCCCCCTGCGCACGCAGGGTCACCTAGAGCACGTGGCACAGGACTGTGTCCAAGCTGGTTTTGAAGATCTCCAGAGAAGGAGACTCCACAACCTCTCTGGGCAGCCTGTTCCAGTGCTCTGTCACCCTCAATGCTAAGAAATTTGTGGCGATAGATCTTGAAAGGCTAGGTCCTTATACAACAGGAATTACCTTTAATCACTCCTCTTCCCCGGACAAACAATATTAATGAAAGCGCTTACTTTTTTTCCACAAACAAAAGATTAGTCCTGTTCAAAAGGGGTTTTAGACAAAAGGTAGCATGTTGACTTGTATGCTTTACTTACCAGGGACGGCATTGAAGGTATAGGTGAAGCTGTTGGTGACTGACCAGGAATATTTAACGAGTTAAATTTAGGCACAACAGCAACACTGACTCTCCTCCGAGGCATGTTCTGTGAAAAACAACATTTTTTTTCTATCATAAAACAAGGTAGGCAGAACAATTCTATAGGTCAACAGGTGTGGCAAAAATGCAGGTTAATGTTGGGAAGAATCTCTTGGGAGAAAAAAGAGTTGAGTGCAAAATTAAGATAAAGGACAGTTAGTGCTGTAGTCTTCTCCCCAGACTTCCTTCCTATAGTACTAGCTGGTATGGTATGTGCTTAGTGAGAAATGGGTGCTTGTACAGGGACAAAAGTCTTTCTCCTTCACACAGAAAGCCCGACAGTCTAAGTCACACAGTAGATACGTTCTGAATTGATATAAGCTATTTTCTTTTGTTAAGCCAGATGTACAACCATCCTGGGAAACATGCCAATGTCACAATGTCAGGAAATAATGAAGCTGCACATGAAACTCTTCTCTTGCTATGTACCCATTATGATATATTTATTAATTATATAATGACATATTATTACTTACAGAAACAAAAACATCCGCTCTCTCCCCAAAAGAACAGAGTCTTCTCCCCCACACCCTTGAGTTTTTAAATATCTATGTAGCTTCATGTGACACTGCTTACATTTCCCAAAGACACTGAAAATTCTTTGTACGATAAACACATACTAGTTATACATATTATAGCTCAAGTATAGACCAAATAAGAAATAAGCTTTTGTTGTTAGCTTTTCTTTTGTCTCTGTAAGAGACAAAATACCTCATTCTATGAAATGCAACCTATGGATCCCACTTATTAAAAAAGTACAGGTAGCATCTAACAGCTTAATCATAATGCATATCCAAACACATTTCTAGTTTTCTGCTCTGGATAACTATGTAAAAGGAATTAATCACAGATTTACAGATCTAGCATGTTTAGAAGAGGCTACCTACCCTACCCATCCTATCATTTTAAGCGGGATCTACTCTACCTGTGAACATGGTATTATTAGTAAGATAATAAAAATGGTATGTTCCTAGAACCCCATATCCCATTGTAAGGCTTAGATCCAATAGTTCAGCTTCTATAAAAACTCGGAAGAACTAGAGCAAAGCACAGGACCTGAGCCATTTTGTGCAGCACAGATATGTGACCTGGGATAGAATTATTCTTAAATACAGAAGCTCCGTAATTACTTTCAATTTCATAGCCAAGCATTATCATTATTGCCTACTTTCATTCTTAATCAAGTATCCAAGATTTGCACTAAATTACATGAACAATATTGAGAATTTACCAGGACTACGGTTTGAATACAGACTATAAAATTGAATGTGGATAGACAAAGACATTTCACTACATAAAAAAAATTCATGTAAGATGGTTCCATTTTTTACCTTTCCAACAGTAAGGGACATGGATCTAGATGACCGAGGTACTCCATCTTCTGCATTAAAAAACAGCAGATAAACAACAGTCTTAGATTATATGAGTATCTACAAATAAAATGAATAGTATATAAACATATATCCTTGCTTATATTTCGAACTCAGGTATACTGTATTTATACCCTGTTTATAGTGACTGTATATTTTTCTGTTATACAGTTCAGGCCTCAGTTACATCTGTAGAAAATTGCTGTACCTGCACAAAGGGAAACCATTACCATCTTTACTGAGATCACAGACTAGACTACTATTTGCCTACATAAGCCAGTTTTTCCAAATGAAAAATATTGATACTTAAGTTTCCATCAGTCTGGGAAAGGTTGTAAATACATTTTTTAATAATAAAATTTTGCCAGCATCTGTCATCTCAGAGGTAGATGTACGAAAAAGTCATAGGCCACATATATATATATATATATATAAAAGAATCCAAACAAACATTTTTGGATCCTATCAGAACCTTGTAAGTGATAAGGATTTTACATTACTGTACTAGAGCATTAAGTATGGTTCGAGAACACAAAATCTCTGTGCTGTTACAACCATATATTTTTGAAATCTATTTCTGCAGAACAGATTCATGATACTTTTTCTGATAAACAGAACTAGATACTTCTCTGTCTAGAGAGAAGACAAACCCTTGAATATTTTATTTATTTATTTATTTATTTTACCAGCAGCACCATAGCTTCTGCTAGAATTCTGATTGGCAAGTTTCTTAAACTCCATTAGCTCAGCGTGATCCTTTTCATACGTTCTTTTCAGATTTTCCACATATTGCATCATCACTTCTGTTGCCTTTGACATACGCTTCTCCTAAGCAAAAAAAGAGCGGAGAACACTCAGGGAACTTCTACACTTCTCAAACAAATAACATGCTTCTATGTCTACATAAGGGCCAAACCTACAATAATCACTCATGAAGAGCTACTGGTACCTCCAAAACCAAAATCATCTAAGCTATTTAGAACACAAATGCAGTAATATATGTCCAGAGAATGTCACGATTTATCTTATATGTTGCCTGTCTGTGCGCCTGTTATGCAGCAGATTTGCATTTGTTTTTGAACTGTCAAAAGCCTTAGTCACTGACATGAGCCTACTTGCTTTAGTAGGTAGAAGCAATAGTTTTGAATTGGGGATGAGATGATATTGCTATGTTCTCATCTATAATTTCTCTCTTCTTATACGTTTTACAGTTGTCTGACATAAGCTATTGCCAAAGGCAAGTTACTGATCTAGATGAGATATTGACCCAGAAAAGACATTCTTATTTTTGTTCCACTGATTTTAAAATGTTTCTTACCATGAATATAGCTTTGAATAACATAATTGCTTCTCTTGTACAGATGCTTAATAGCTTCATGGATCAACTCCTTCTCTTTGAATTCTATTTCCTCATTGAATTATGCCTTACCTGATACTATGATTAAATATTATAAGTCTGTAAAAATGAAAATTCCAAGGGCTAAAACATCTTACAGCTCTGGGTGAAAAAGACAGAGTGTGTGCAGTCAGGATGCATGTTACACACTGGGATATTCTTACTTGGCGAACAGCTCCAACCATTTCAGCACGGCTAGACAGTCTAGCAGCCAGACGACGCAGCACTGCAATATCCTCCAGCAGCTTCTGGTAAGCTTCTCTGTGTTCACAGTGATGCCATAAGCCAGCTGAAGACTGAAGTTAAAATACATGTCAGAGTGACATCATGTTGCCTTTAGTACAGATGAGCTGGCCTGAGCCACAGGAGTTGCACAGACATGTCTAAGAAGAACTACCTGTGGGCAAATCAGCCCCAAAGATAATTGTGCTAGCGCTGTTGCTGTTGCAGGATAGTGCTTTGTGACCTGCTGCGGGCACATCTTTAAAGGTGTTTGCAGGTTGTGCATATTTACAATACTGTTGCTGAAAAGCATAACAGTTATCATACATGAAGTATAAAAACATTCAGGGCCATAACCTAGTCCTGGGATTAAAAGTAATCCTTACTGTTGTATTTCCTTTACCTCTTTCTATTGCCTTCAGTTAAGAAGCTTTTCAAGCTACAGATCTCATGATGTAGGATTAAAATCATTTCAATATCTTGCCTAACTGGACACCTCAAATTTATTGCTAAATAGAGGTCTTATCACCATAGATCAGTCCTTAAACTGCAGTTCTACATATGTAACTTTGCCCCAGGCTTATTTCAAGAACCTAACAGAAAATTCACAATATTTATCCTTGAAGTATGTTAGTAGAAGTACAGCAATTTCCTTGTGTTGCCTCCCTGTCCCCCACTGGCTCACTGTGGGGGAAAACACTTTTTTACTCTTCAGTACAGTAGCAAGGGCTTTCCTGTAATGAGCTACAGCAGCAGAAAATGGAGTTTGGGTTTGAATTTATAATTGGTACAAGCAAGCTCAGTCACATATTTAAAATGTGCATGTGCACATGCATGTAAATATGTGCTATACTTTAGAAAAAATACTCTTTTTTTCTTACCGTAATGGCTGTTTTAAAGTTTTCCAGTTCCTTCTCAGCATTCTCTTCAGTAAGATTCCTCTCTCTCTCTGCTTGGTTAATTCTAGCTTCCAATGTATAACTATCATTTCTAAAAGCCAAGGAAAGTTGCACAAACACATTCTGTATGGATTAAGAAAATAAAATAAATAAAAGGCATTTTTATGTAGCATCACTGAAATGTAAAGATTTCAAACAATGTCTCATGTACAAAGTATATTTCATTAATGTTGATGCTTAAATAAATATGGGAATGAAAATCTGAAATATCTGACAAGCTAGATTGTTTCAAAAACAATTTTCCTTATTTCCTCTAAAATACGAATGAATGTGTTGCTGCCGCTTTTCCTGAATGCTTTTCTGGAAGATCAGTGGAGCAGCGTAGCCACAATGAGGGAAGTATCAGAATCACAATGGATGTTTTCTAGCTGGACTTCCTCCAAGGGTCCCCAAGGTTTTTAAACAGATAGTCCATGCAGAGGAAGTCCAGGGATGAGCTCACCATTAACATTGTTTTACCTTACAGATAAACACTTACCACTGAAGCCAGCAAAAGATTAAGTGTTAACATTTTTATTCTCTTGAATGTTGCTTTTAAAGAGTGTTTCTTTACCAGGTGTATTATTTCTTAGGATTAAAAATTTACAAAGCACAAGACACCAATAGTTCAATGTGATTGGAATTATGTAAATAAAGATCTTTTTCTTCACTTTCCCAAAACTTCTATTGGCTAAAAGCAAAAATGTAAACCAACTCAGAACATAGTCTTATTTAGTTTCAAAGCTTAAAAAATTTAAATATATGATAATACCAAAATGAAGTTATATTTTATTAAGAATATGAAAGCATGTGTTTTGTTTTCTCCTAATTCTTCAAGTTTTTTTCTTTTTTTTTTCCACACTTGTGCTGTCTGGGGTAATGGTCCTCCTTTCACTAAATCACACTTGTTAATTTGATGGATCTCTGTATATTTTTTTCCTGAAGAATATTTTTTGGCAAAAAGAATCCCATTTCTAGTTCCAATAACCACCTTTAGATTTATAGCATGCACTTAAAATTGAGGCATACAGAATTAAAGGTGCAGTTAAACCACGAGCATAATCTAGATTACACTTAATCCACTTCAGCAACAAATTCAAATTTGGAAATAGTCACGGATTGCAAGTGTAAGGATAATGAACCACTGAAGTAATTTGTTAAGGAACAAAGTTTATTCTGCATCACCGAAAGACATTAAATCAATCATGAGTTACAGAATATATAATTCAGATTAGAGTAAAACATACAGCAGTGGCCCCTTTGTAGTCTAAAATTTTAAGACCATACTTACCTCAACTTCTTTCTCGGTAAGTGGAGGGGAGCTAGAAATAAAAACAAAATAATTGATATTTTAATAATATTTTTCTCTAAAACAAAGATTTAAATACTGAATTGAAAAGAACAACTTGTAAAAAACCCTCCCCTTAAATATTTTGTTTTATTGTAAAAACAGTATTTAACTAATTCAATTGAATCTGTGAAAGCTAAACTACTTGTTTTTGTTTGTTTAGTAAGAGTACAGTATCACCGGTATATTGAATTAAACGTACGACAGTTTTTGGAAGCCTGCAAGATATGTCGGCACTATGTTGTGATAATTTGAGCAAAATAACAAGTCATAAAGCATTGGCTTGGTATTGCTAGTGATTTATTATCTTTACCCGTTTTCCTTCTTTGAACAGCTGAAACCTCAGATGTACAATAGGTGTAAAAGTTAAATATGCATTTATTCAGTAGAATGAGCAATCCTATTGATCAAAGAATTTTATCTGATGATATCAAAAAACATATTTTGTGATTTCCAAAGCCAGTTCATCATTTACCTATTTTATACTTGCTTAGTAAATTCTTCTTTGGACTATTTGATTACAACCAGCAATAGTCTCTTAGAGCTTCCTCGTCCCATGCATTCAATTAAAGTTTGTATATAACAGTTCTCCCATAAAAAGTGTTCACTATTGAATTCGCTTGCACAGAGAACACCTGTTTGACCAAAAACACCTGTTTGCTGCTTCAAATTATCATAGGCCATGGTATTTAAGATGTAAAAATGCACAGATGAAACTAGGAATAATTCTGACCAAATACATGTTTGGAATTGTTTCTAATGATTAGTAAGTATTTTTTCTTATGGTTTTATTTCCTTAAAGAAGTTTCTACAGGAATAAGATGCTTAACTGCATTCTATTGGTACCTTATATGAAAATAAGCAGAGATACTTTACAAAGATATACCTATTTAATTAGTGAATGTAAAAGTGTAAAAGAAAGTTTGTTCAATAACTGAAGATGTTAATGGTGCAAAGTAGGAAAGGCATGTGGTGATGAATGCTTCACTTCAGCTTTCTTCCCATATTTCTCGGGTCAGAGGAAAACACTAATTGTAGACTTCTGTGTTGTTTAAAACATAAATCTCTCCCAAAAGGAAATCTTACTTAAATTCTATCACAAAAATGTCATTCAAATGACAGTAAACTCCAATCAGAGGGAATATTTGCATTTCTAAATGTTTGGACAAATGCCTTTGATCTATTCTGACTCCACCTCGGAGGAGTACAGACTAGAGACCTCCTTGGCTATAGTTACACCACACAGTGTATCTTTAGCTATGGGTTCATATGGTATTATAAGATTTTGCACTGCAGTACATCTGTAACATGCAGGCATACTACTCAGATTGAAAAAGTGGAAAGTGAGAAAACACAGCAAATGTTAAGCAACCTGTACTAATAGCTGACTGCCTGCATGTACCAAGATCAGAGATTCGGCAAGTCCTTTAACTTCTTTTTTTTTTTTTTTTTTTTTTAAAAAAAACAACAAAGTCGTGAAAAATCATCACAAGGAAACTTGCAGAAAAAAACCTTGCAGAACCCTCACACTCCCAAATGTTATTATTGGAAGGCATTATCCGGCCTGATTGCTTTTGGAGCAAATTTTCAATATGAACATTGAAAAATAACATTTTCAATATGAATTATATCTGTGACAACACTCCTGAAAACAAGCATTCAGACCAGTAGAAAACCTGTATAAAAATGTACTTGCAGGATGGAAATTAGGGCTAAGACTTTTTTACACCAAACTCAGAAATTTTTCTAAAGTGCCCAGTTCCTGGAAGACAGCGCATTCCCCAAACTTTTCAGAAAATCTGCACTGTACAATTTAAGATGCCGACCCTCTACTCATAAGGTTCTGACAAGCACAAATTCCAGAATGGGAGCTCATTGGAGACCATTAGTGCACTTTCAACATGTTCTCTTGCTGCCTCTGATGACGTTTTTACCTTCCAGGAAGGGATTTGTGCACTCGCAGTTTTCGCAGCAATAGATCAGGAATGCTGGGCATGACATCCGAGCTGCTCTTTGTCTCTTCCTCTTCAGTGGGGGAGGGGAGAGGTGAAGGACCTAAAGACATTTTCAGAGAAAAATAATCACTTGAAAACCTATGCATTAACAATAAAGTAAGCACCTCACAAGCAAACGGGACCTACTAACCTAACTGTGTCCTGTTTGAAGTCAATGGCAATTTCACCCCTGATTTCCTGGAAGCAAAAATGAACCATAACGAATGGTTGCCCATCCTCTAGTACTAAATGTTACTTGCTTTAGTGCACATGGTGATACATCACTCATCTCTTCTTTACTGCTAAAATAAAGACCACCCATCTATCTTCGAGCAGTGACAACACAAGTAACAATTGTCCTTCTTTCTGCATAAAGGACATCATACATTTACATATATTACATAAAAAGCCTGCCTAACGATGTAACAGCTCCAATGGATTTCACCAATGTAAACTTCTGTAATTGCAACGCAGTGCTACTATCATAATAATTTGACATTGTGAATAAAACATGATGGAGTCAGTATATTTGATTCGTAAGATAGTAATGAAGTAGCTGCCTCTTTCCTATTGTTTAAGCAAATTATTACTTCAGTCAAAAAACATCAAGTGGCTATCATGACAATTCAAGGAAGTAAGTCTCCCTATCAAATAAACAGAAGATTTGACCTCTCACTTGTTTTCCCCACTGGGGACATGGAGCTGACCTTTAACTCTCTGATTACCATTGAAAACAACAGTGGCCTTAAAAGGGTTTGTGACGCTCATGAGACCTTGGCTAAAAAGCTGGGTAAAGTAATTCTTAGTATTTGACAATGTTTTTCCACTTACAAGTTTAAGATCTGCCAAAATTATACAGCAGACTGGTAAAATGGCAACTGCTTTACACACTCAAATTCAAAACACAGCCCACCAACAAAATTCTGGGAGATGATATATTAGCAAAGTAACAAGAACAATGCTACCATATCTAAGAATCCAAAGATAAAATCAGTAAATAGAGGAAGAGGATAAAGTGCATCTTTTAATCTTGCTTTATACAGACTGAAGATGAGATTCTTTTCAGAGATAATATGAGCTGCAGTATCTGTGTCATCTCCCTGTGTAACCAAAACTTTAAGCTCTTATGAAACAGCCCAAAGCATACAACACATTGCACCTCTCACACAGTATCCTTCCACTGCTTTTCCCTGTTAGAGCACTGCACAGGACTAAAGGGATGCTCTGGGCTGATGTATAAGATGACGCACCTTTTCAAGACTAGGTGAATGTAGTCAAATCAATAGTAAAACCAAAATACAGCACCGCTTTGAGGTAGACTGCTATCACGTGTAAACAACTTCACTGAAGAACATCTATAACGGCAGCAGCCACCCAGGGAACTCCAAAGCTCTGACTCTGGAATAAGGTTAGGACAAAGGAGGAGAAAGGGATTTGAATCTCTGCCTATCCAGCTTTCAACTGATTCAGATCCCAGAAGATTTGACAAGTTTTGGGACAAGCACCGTAACTGATTCTATCACCTGTACAGACTCGAAAGACTATAGAAGGATGTATTCCTTTCAGGAAACCTCTGCGGACGTGGCAACCAAGCACTGTCTCATTACAAGTAGCACTATAATTTTGCAAGAACAAGATTTTCTTTTTTTTTTCCCCCATATCAATTAATTAGAAGAAAGCTCTGATTAATAAACAAGCATTCCTTCCACCTTTACGATACTGCACCTTTTTCCTGTTCAGCTGCTTCACTAAGCTCAGGAAGTTTAAGTCCAACTAAGTTTTGATTTCTCATCAAAATATGCTCCTGTTAAGAAAAAGAGTAGCATTTATAAACATACTAGAAATGTCAATTTAAGTGTCTCCGCAACGTGAACACTAAATATTCATTTTAGTTAATAGACACAATGTAGAAAATTGTATTAAATTGTAGTTAGATATGATATTGCATTATATACACACACAAAAATATTTTGATACACACATATATACTTAAACATGATATATTTAAAATGTTGTACATACTTTTATTAGCAAAATTAATGGTCATAGAAATAAATATTTGTAAAACATGCTAATTACTCATATATAAGAATTGATTTTTATTTGGTAAATGAAAGTCAATGAAAAATAAAAGTTGAATGTAGCTCTAATAATCAGCAAGTACCTCAAATGAGGGGGATCGGGGAGTTCAAAAGGGACATACATAACACTGCCACTTTGTTGACTTATTCTATGGGATTTACTCACACCCAAGTTTAGCATGGTGTAGCTGCAAATTAATACTTCACTGTTCCTGTATTCTGACACCTTTCCTGACAGGAAAGAATGTACTCTGGAGGATTCAACTTTGTTTCCTAATTTCTTCTCCTGTCTTCTCACTTTCTACTTTCATATTCTCAAATCTATTTAAAATCCACAAGCACCTACTTTTTAAAAGTAGACAGTTCCTTCTAGACACAGAGTTCAAATCTCTCTTAACTTGAATTGTATCTCGTGTTGCATTTGTTTTCCAATTCTAACTACCGTTTGTATTTAACAACTTATAAGACATTCAAAACTAAATGGCTCAAATGCCTGTAAAAAAATTCCCAGTAGCTGTATACTCAGAATATATAAACAAGATAAGATGAACAACTAAGTTGCCGTACCCAAGCAGTACGATGTGATTGAAATAACTTGAGTGTACAAATGGAGTTTTTTGCATATATCTCTATTGTGTTCATCTTAAAATATTAACCACTGGAGGTATAAGAAAATGTTCTTATCATGCTGTTACGGACTAAAGTTACTACTTTTTTCCCACTTTAAAGATTCTTTCTGCTGTAAATACGCATGTTATTTTCTTTATATTGCTGTCATCTCATACCATTTCTACTTTTTTCAATGTAATTTCAGTTCAATATGCTTAGGGTTTAATCCCTAATTTCAACAATCACCTTATTTCAGACAATTATTTAACGGCTGAATTATTTTTAGGTTTTATCATCTAGTTTATTTTTCATGAAGCTGAATTTTCCAATGTTTCAAGAATTAGGAACTGTCAGTCTGGCAATCCTCTAACTGCTCTTGCTCTCAGGGACACCGGTTCTAAAACATTAGGCACACAGACATTTTCTGAGTATGTGTAGGTAAGAAAAAAAATCCCATCCTCTGAGATCTTGCAAATTAGCTTTACTTCAAAGGCCAATATTCTTGAAATATTCTGAACAGGACTACTGCCCTTAAAGGGAGAATGTTAGGAGGTACAGAAGATTCAGAACCAGTAAAGTGAACCAAGTAAAAATAATTTCTAAATCCAAAGAACATTTACAAATAATATATGACACGCAGGGACTTGCAAGTCCCTTAAATAGAAGTATGGTAGCGGTCTTCTAATTTCAGTTAAAAATTTCTGCTTATATGCAGATCTCGGCCCACTCAGAAATCAATTAATCAACCAGTAGTATGCGAGGGCCTCTGGATCCAAGGACAATTCTGAAGGAGCAATAAAAACATAGCACAGGGGAGAAAAGGAAATGCAAGAACATAAATACCCCTTTTCAAGATGTTTGTTGTTACATCCTCAGGAAGGAAAGATTTTTCAGATGTCGATTTTTCTTTAGAAATCAAAATAGATCATTTTATTTCCCAGTATGCTTAATAAATGACATGACCATTAATAAACAGCTTCCTGTTTATTAGGTCATGCACACTATCCAAAAAAATATGTATTGTGCTTTATACTCACCTTTCTGTTAGTCTTTGACACCAGTATGACAGTTATGCCTAGGGGCGAAAACTGCATGTGCAAGAGCATAGTTGATGCATATTTGAAGAGACAAATTTTCTTGAACAGAATTAAGAATAGAGTAATTCCACAGAACTTAGTCTACAATTTAGTAAAATTGAAAAGGGAAAAATATGATACAATGCTAGGCTGGATCTTGCTGAAGCTGTTTCACCCTGCATTAACATACATTTCTCAATGATAAAACTGATATACGCAAGTTCAAAGGAGTAAGATATAAAAGTATTTTTAAAACAGGATACAACTGATAAGCAGGACTCACCTCTCTGAGCTTTGTGAGTTTCTGCATTCTCACGGGTTGAACTTGGATTTGGAGGTCTTTGAATGCTGATGCTTTTAATTGATTGCCAGATTTACTGGCAACGGTAATGCTTTTATCTTCCTCAGATGGTAATTTAAAAGGTGCTTTATCTTTCTGTCCAGGTTCCAAGCTATCCCATGACACAGCTCGTAGCAGAGGAGGACGGAGTCCGCACACTTTAAATTCAGGTTTACACAAAACTTTATGGTCCCTAGTTTCTGGAATAGAAATTTTTAGTTTTTGGTCTATATTTCCTATTCCTGGTCCCAGTAGGTGGGTTCTTAAAGGAACATCAATTTCCTTTACTTTCTTGAGGAATGGTTTTCCAAGTTCACTTTCACACACATTCATGGAAGTGTTAAGAGACATTCTGCCATTATCACTACCTGCAGTGGAAGATTTAGGTAAAGGATCCATATGCTGACGTGGATCGAAGTTTTCTTTTTGTTCAGAGAGTTTCTCTTTGGAGTTTTCAAAACCAGCAGAACGAGGAACCAATCTTCCCTGAGAAATCTTTCTTTGATCATTCAGCCGTCGATCAACTAATCCTTTTGCAGCATTCTGAAAGCAGAGTGATAAACATAAAACAGAGAAACAGGTGCTAATTTCTCTTTTACCCTGCCCCAAAGATAGATTTTCATTTTAAAGAGCCATTTTCTTTATTAGAGTCATTTGCTTTTAAACTACATGCTGCTGACAAGCGATTTTTAAACAGTACTTGAAAAAATTACGAATCTCTTCTTTCTATTTTTGAAATTACCTCCTCTCACTCCAGAGCCCATTACAGCAATCTCACATAGCCAAGTTACTCATCCTCTCTTTTTAAAGTCTGCTCAGGTACACAACTTTAACCCTGTATCTTTTAGCACTGTAAGTTTCCAGATTTCTACCTTTGATTATGTTTTCTATTAGCCCCTCAATTCCCAGAGTAAAAAATTATGAGCTTGTACACATACTGTTATTTTCCTTCCACGTTTCTCATGTCTCTGTGTCCCTTTCTACCTGTCTTTTTACTAGTATTTTCAATTGTATATAACTAAATGGCCCTGGAAAGATTCATTAATACAGACTTCAATAGTCTGATCAATCCATACCATATTTTTTTAATGCTCTAACATTTTTGAAGGAGTTCTCAGTTGTATTACAATTTATTCTCTATTCTTTTATTGTGCCTTGGGACAAGTAATTTGCATGTTTTATTAGGTGCATAGGACAGGCAGCTTAAACAATACAAGAGCTAGAAGTCAGAGATAAGGCTCTTGCTTATAGACTTTAGGGCTAAGCAAGGCAGGTAGTGGCATATTTCTCTTCCTATTCTCACTGTGATACAGCAGAGATGACTGAGGCAGGTGCATTGAATAAACGCATGCAAATCATTCAAAATCTTGCGCATTACCACAGGCTGTAATTCAGCTACAATCTCCACAGCAGAACATGTGTCCAAGCTTGACTACTTTGGTATGGTCTGTATTTCAGTTTATGGCAACTCTGTCAGAAATGTAAGGCAACAGACAAACCTCTTAAAATGCTTACCTCTGTAGAGTGCCTGTCATCTTCTTTCCCAATTCTGTTATTCTAGCAAAAAAGTGGGTGAGGGAAAAGTTATTTGTCTTGCAGTATAAATGTGGAGGAAAATCTTATAAATCTTACATAAAGATTAATGGATGAATTTTAAACATCTTAACATTTTTAACATTGCTTGTAACAATTATTTATGAAGATTTGTCAGAATTTATCCCCCCACAGACTAGTATGATTTTAGATCTTTCCCTTTTTCAGTTCTTCACAGTTCTCTCTGATTCTTCAGAACTCATTACTGCACTTTGGTCTTCTGACTTAACATTTATCACTCATTTGGCAGAAAAAAGCATGTCAATGATCCTATCTTGCTATGCAAAATGATAATGAAAACATCCTGCTTTACTTAAGGATGAATAGGACAGTATAGTATAATATGGCAGTGCAACGATTACTATACTGTGCAGGGTAGTCAGCTTTTTCTTACCTGCTCTGAAGACACTGACTCTACGCTAGTGGTTGTACCTAAATCAGACCCTAGAAAGACATAAATGATTAATCCTGATTTGTTGGCTACAAAATTTACTGAGCAATAACAAATACATGCAGACATACCCACATACACTACATTAAGGTCAAAATTTAAATGCATAATATATGAAATTTATAAGGGAAAAATAAAATCTAAAATATGGTATGTGAATGACCATTAAAGCTTCAGTTATTGAAAAGGACTAAAAAATAAAGAACAAGTACCCTAATTGCATCATAGGAACAAAATACAATATTCAAAAATATATAAAACGTATAATGTTGGCATTCACGAGGTCTGTTGTACACAAGAACAGATATTTCTGAAGGGATAGGGTCTGACTTCAAGAAATACTAAAAATGCATTTTTGGTGAGTTTTAAAGATTCTCCTGTGTGTTCATTTTTACCTGATGGAACTGGAAGAGTGAGAGAGTTGCTCCGAGATGCTACTGGTGAAACTTTAGGACTAAGCGTAGGGGAAACTGCTTCATTAAAACAAAGACAAAACAAAATAAGGTCATTTTGTTTTCTCGGCTTGTGGTTTCTGAATTTTTAAAATTCAAGACATATGTTTGTCCACAGCTTGATAAGCCATTTCAATTGCCTAGTTGTTCCTGAGGAACTTTGAAAACTAGGACAAAAAAAGGCTTTTATTAGGTTTTGAAATGCCACTTCAAAACAAAATTCTGTCTTAAAACTTGTTTGAAGTTTTTTGGAGCAAAATGCATTTTTAAATTAATTTTTCCTCTTTTTCTAAGTACATCGTGAATCATTCTTTTATGTTTGTTCCTCGTTTTTGGAGGGGCAGTGCATATAGCCTCATCAATCTGAAAGGAATCTATTTCATTAGAATTGTGTTAAGTCAAATATATAAGACTTTAAAACCTATTTTAAGTTCCTCATGAACACTTTGGGAGGAGGAAAAATAGTAATTTCATTTTTTGGTCAATTTTTTAAAGTTGATCTAGCCTGATTATATATAGAATAAATATCTGTGCACAATTATGTCCACTAAGGTGAACAGGGGGAGGTGACTATCAATATTTTGCCACTAGCATTTCATTATGTGTATAAAATATACTTCAGGCATACTTCAGAAAATCATTACACATGGTAAATTTTGATCAACAACTCAGAAGCTAATAGAAATATTTCCTGCGTTCTTGCTGCAGTATTTCATCCAGGCACTTGAAAAACTTACAGTCTTTTCCCATTGCATGTATACACAGAGATTGGCCATTTCTGTTTAACACTGAATCTGTGAAGAGAATGATACTGACTTTCAAATGAACAAGGAGTATGCATGCATTACACACAACGTATTGGTGCATTTGCCTATCTTGGAAGTAGAACAGAAATTCCTGTTTTCAGAACCTGCACCTACCTGTAGGTGACTCAGGAGGGCCACTTCTTGACTTTCTGCCTCTGCGCATTAGAAACCTCTCGCTCACTTTCTTTGCTTCTTCTAGTAATTCAAGATTCTTCTTTTTGTCTTCCTCAGATATTTTGACATCTGGCAGCTGATCATTTACCAGATCAATCACATGACCACTGTTGTCTGGGTACAAAACATCAGAATTAGAGTTGTACATCACATATGCAGATAGCTGGCATGTTTCTGAGCAACAGAAGTACAAAATGTATCTATAAAATCAGCTTAGAGCTTGCATTAATTAAATATTCATGACTAATCATTTTTAGTGTTATCTTCTCAAGTTTAGAGTAGGTCCTCAAGACACAGGTAACCAGTTGAGATTAAATCAACAGAATCGGGGATGATCTCAACTGGCTTCCTGATGCATTCCCATAATTTTCTAATTTACCACTGTGAAAATATCTCAGCTAGAATCTTAGAGCGCATTTCTTTTGTTGACTACATTTCTCCTGAGTTTTTTATGTCTTTTTTCAGGGTTGAAAACCCACCAACTCACCTGGCAAGGATTTATGCAAACTAATATTAACATCTATCAAATCATATATAGAGTAAGGTGCAAAGAAGTACAGAGATTTTTTTCTATACAGATAGAATGTCTTTTTCTGCTGGTAAAAAGCTGGTTAAAGCTGGTTAAAATTGCAGGCAGCAGAAGCTGAATAGCCAGTCTAAGACTTATTAGGCTGCTTCAAAACACAGAGTTATCAATACCTACAAATTTTGCAGACTGTCAAGAATTTTCCAATGGAACTGCAAATACCCTTGCTAAAAAACAGCACTGAAGATTGCCAAAAAGCAACTGTGAGTTTCCTTTCCTCAGGTCCACTTATGCTGGTATATTAGATGTAATCCATGATCACAAACTGAAAGTCACTCCCCTAACTTCCCCTAAACCTTTAATTTAGTGCTTTGCTTCCCTGACAATTTTTATTTAGTTGGAGAAAGGATCTGCTATTCCTTAGCTGCCAAATTGATTAAAAACAACAAAAGCTTCAAGCACCAATTTTTATAATTCGTTAGGCTACCATAAAGCAAGAAATACTACCTGTTGTCAGAAAGGTCTTTTCCTTGCAAGATAATATACAGGTATCATACAGGTTAGTATAAAATACATTTAGGTTAGTACAAAAAAGTTACCTGAAAACAACACGTCAAAGGAAGGAAAAGCACGTATTGACAATGTAGCGTGCAAAAGCCTTCCACGGACTGACAGACTCTAGAGACTAGGAACCCTATCTGATCTGCAAGAACCGATAAACTCAAACCACCAGGAGTCTGCTCGGTCTGTACAAGGTCACATATACTAGCATCAACAACAGGCTTGGTAGCTCATACATACATATGGGTATTAAAATCTCTCTCTACATATATAAATAAACAAAGCAACAATATAGAATACAATACTGAGAATATAACATCACTGTCTATTTGTCAGCCATAAAATATCAACTGCATTTTTGGTTTTGCTTTATTCTAGTTTTCTAACTTTTTTTTTCATTTTTCCCTTTCAAGAGGAGCTCTTCTCTGCTAATTCCTCCATCCCTTGCACGCAGTAGCATAAACATACAATCTCTTCTTCAACTTCTGTAAATGTAAATGTATGTAAATAGAGATAAGTAATGATCCAGATGCAAAGATACTAGGATCTTTGTCACTGACTTCAACAGAATGAGAGCATTTGTCACAGTTTGCAGTACTCACAAACCTGCATCCACATCATTATTGCCCTCGAAAAATCTGCTGTATTGGTAGCTACAGGAAAACCAATAGAATAGTTGTGTAGTAAGAGACATGTTAGAAAAGTGAAGAATTAAAGACAATCTTCCTTTGGTTAGCTAGTTTTCATTAAAGGTTTAATTTGATAATATGATAGCCAAATGCAATGATTTGAGACTTAAGCACCTGTTATACTCTCCTTTAAAAATTATATTTGCTCACAAATAATTAAAATCAGTATTTCTAAACAGTATTTTGCATACAGCAAGAATTTTAAGGTGGTATAACTTGCTTTCTTCCAAAATATGTGAAGCTAGAAACTGAAGCTAACAACTTTATGCAATTAGTGCCACCTACACTCCCTGCATCTACTTGCCTGCAATCTGCTTATGACCGTACACACAAAGAAACTGCTGTCAATATAATCAGACCCTACATTCAGATCTTGACTGTGTGTCACACTTTTTCCAAAAAGACATCCCAGTTCAAATGAACAATCACTTCTTACCAACAGAAGTCAATGAACTACTTGAATTCCTACTGGTACGGTTAGAATGTCGCCGATGAGGACTGCGAGGCCTAGAAGGAAAGAATGGGCAAAAATTATGGGACTATGTCTCACACACACATGAGTGCGCACACACACTCAAAAAGCAATACTACTCCTCTTTAAGCATTTAATATGAAAAGAGAGAGTACTTGTCCTTGATCAAAAATAAATTAAAAAAAATCCGTTGGAACGTTTTGAGATTCCCATGAGTAAACTAAGTATCCTTCATTAGAATATGATCCAGTTAAAACTAATTCCCATTCACTGGGGACCAGACTGAGCCAAAATAACCATTTGTTTTGGTGCAGTTTCTCTCATCTCTCAAAATGGAGAAAACAAGAAAGCAGAAAATTGCAGGAGTTGCTCTCAAACACCGGAAGTTTTGACTTTTGCTGAAAGCTTCATATAGAGAAAGCTGTCAATTTCTTAGTAGAACTACTTTTTCAGTTCATAATCCTAACTTAAAATTCATGTTAATATAGTACATTACAAAGACAGTCCTCAGTTTACCTATACTGTTAGTGCTCCCTAAACTAAGTTCTACAACTGAAATAATTTCTTAGTCTCTCGCATTACCACTCAGTTTTCTGTCAGCTATCAACAGCAATATGGAAACTTTCTAGATTCAAAACCAGATCAAAGTCTCAAATCGCTGCCAAAAATTACGTGGTGATCTAGCAAATAATGCTGCTTCTAAGAGGTTTTGTCATAATTTTGACCTTTAAACACTCTTGAAGTTTAGAGAAGTACATTTCAAAGTACAATGCAAATGACAGTGTAGATTTTATTAATACTTTCTGGTTAGTTTTCTCACATTTTAAGTCTAATAGCAGGTCTATAAATTAAAATTTTAATACATTTATAATACATGCAATGATTTCCCTCCTTTGGAAATACACTTGCCCCAAAAATAAGCCTTTCTATACAAATTATCACACGTGGCAAGTGCATGTTTTCACAAAAATCACATTTCCTTTCCTTGTAGGTACATTTCAGTAATTTAAGCAGCATACAGATGTCTGAAACATTGGGATACTGGGTACTAAACTGAGAAAAAACCCACATTGGGCATGTACTTCAGGAAAATATTTTTTTGCCTTTGTTTATTCTGTTTCAGTTGCTCATAGAATAGGTAAAGGTTAAAATATGGAAAGGAGGAGAGGTTTTACACAATACCTAATTGCGTCACGATCACAGTTTTCTTTGCAGTGATATAAAGTGTAACACACACCATCACATACTTACAAAAGAATTTGATAGAACAATTATTTCCTCACTGAGCCATACTTGATTTTCAGAAGAATGGATTTCAAAAATTCAAGAACTTTTTGATCCAAATTAGGCAAAATATGTAATCCGCATTTTTGTTTTATTTGCAAACTATGCTATTTTGAAAGTTTAGAAAACTTAAGGTAAATTTAAAGAACACTGAGTTTTGATGGCAGGATTAGAACTAAATGCAAAGAAAACTACTCTTTTAATATCAATTATATTCCCACCACATCCCTCTTTCCAGCATGCAAAAATCATTGTCAAATTGCAAATACATACGATCCAGTTATAATCAGAGCAATAATATTTTAATATGATGTACATTGCAAAGGAGATTATTCAATACACAGCCCCTGGAATTACTGTACAATATACACATAGATTGCTAACATATTATGCAGTACCTGCTAACCAGATTTTTATCAATTTCTACACCTGGTGTAACAGCATTCTCTGGAAGAACAATAGAAGGTCTACTGCATGCTGTCACTTCAACAGTAGTGTCCTGAATTGTGGGAGACAAATATAAAAATTAGTTAAACAGCAATTCAAAACACTGAATATTTTTCTATGATAAATCAAATGTTAATTACAAGCCTATATCTAAAATTGTTTAGAAAGAAATTATGGAGTCCTTGACTATCCATTTTCTTTACAAAGGTTTATTACAAAAGGTTAAATTCAACAATCATGTAATGTCTAGGCAATCTCTAGAATAGTACCCATTAAAACAGATTTTTCATGTACAAGCCTGCTCTTCTACTGAAATATACATATAACACTTACTGAAGTAATAAGAGCTGAATGCATGCAAGAACAGTAAAGAACCATGTACAAAAGCTGCCAGATTAAGCATACAAACCTCTAAATAGCACTAGAATGCAAGGACTGCTTGAATAAGTGCTAACTTTATATGCACTACACAAAAATACAGAAAATTATGTTTCCCACATTTTTTCTATTAATCAGAAAAGAAGCTGCAATATATAAATAAAAAGCATAATTTTTAAATGACAAAAGGAACTGGCATTGAATATAAATTTATACTCTGTAAAAGAGAGAGAGGGAGCAAGGGGA